CATGTGGTTGCTGGGAATTGAACTCAGGACCTCTGGAAGAGCAGTCAGTGCTCTTAACCACTGAGCCATCTCTCCAGCCCCCTTCACCCTACTTTTCAAAATGGACATCTTATTCAAAATGGCTTCAGTTTGGCTCCTTCTTACAGTCACAATAAAAATGATATTTATAGTTGAAGTTTCCATCAACACTGGGTCTTTCCACTCTGGGCAACCCCTTAGAGTAACTCCAGTGTCAGTCTGCTGGTACAGCAGTCTCTAATAGAGCGTCTCCACACTAGGAGTGACATAGGCTCTCTAATTTCCCAGGTGGACGCGGCTGCCATTGTTACTTTTCCTGTTGCTCTGCTGAGACACCTGACAAAAGCAGCTGGAGGAAGAAGGGTTGTTTTGTCACAGTGCCAGGTTGTGTCTATCACAGTGCAGAAGTCACAGAAACAGGAGTCCGGGATGGCATCAAGATTCAAGGTGGCTGTCACATTGAACCCACAGTCAAGGAGCAGAGCAGGACTGGATGCTAATGACAGCTCATGCTCTCCTCTCAATGTCCTATTGGATGGACTCTGTGTGCATTGTGCACCATGAGGAAGGAGAGACAATGCCTATGGGCAGTGAAACAGCACAGTCGTTAGTAAATCAGCACATGAGTGGGGTCGCTGATCGATCAGGCTACCTTGATCCTTCTGGCCCCTGAGCAGGGCAGAAGTGAGGTTTATAAGCACAGAAACCTCTAACACCTGTGCCAAGTCACAGTTACAAGTTTCCACCTACCTGGGACTTCAGCACCAGGCTGGGACTGCAGCAACATCCAACTTCACAGACTAAAATCTTTGACCTTTCTAGTGCGAGATAACCATTGTTGGCCTAAAGGACTGTATCATGTAGACTGATTTAATGAATCCCCTTTAATATCAATTCTATCCATTCTTCTCTGGAGAACCCTGACTAGCACGTATTACTCTGTCTCAGCTACTTCATGTCACTCTGGTAAAACAGCATGGCCAAGGAAACTCATCAAATGAAGGAATCATTTGGCTATGGTTCTGAAGTAATACCGTCCATAATGGCAGATGGAGGTGGCAGGCAGCAGACACCTGGAGAAGCACCTGAGAGCTCACATGTGAAACTGCAAACAGAGGCAGAGAACACACTGGGAATGCCAGGACTCTCCTGAAATCTCAAAGCCCTCCCCCAATGACAAACCTCTTTTTCCAACAAGGCCACACCTCCTACTTAATCCCAAACAGTTCTACCCTCTGGAGACCAAGTATTCAACTATGAGTCTCTTGTGTTGTTCTCATTCAAACTACATCGGACACAATTTTAAAAAAAAAATCACAGGTTAATTTCCATGTGTGGGAACAGGTCCAAGAATGGAGCTCTGTGAGGAATTCTGAGTGCTTGGGAGAAAACTCCAAGAAAAGAAGACAAGAGGCTTGTGACATCTGCTCCTTCTAAACATCTGTTTGTGTTTGGAATGTGCATTTGTGCCCCTGCCAGGTGTGATGAGTAGGAATGGGTTAACTCAAATCACCCAGTATCTCACTACTGTCATTTAGATAACGTCTCCAGGCACGCCCTGTTCATGTGATTGTACACAACATGAATCATGGGAGTTTTGTTCAAGTTAACTTTGCTCATCTCACTTTTGTC